AGAGACAGACAGACAGACAGACAGACAGACAGACAGACAGACATACAGATAGAGAGAGATAGTTGGAGGAGACAGTGAGAGAAGGAAATAGACAGAAAGGGGGGGGGAGGGGAGACAAGAAAAGAGGATGGGAAAGATATACATGTATAAAGGACTTACTCTGTGACTTTGGGTGTAGCAAATAACAAGAGGTCAGAGCAAACTTTCATTATCTGAAAAAAAAAATTAATTAGCAAGGTTTTTATAATGGTTTGTCAAATAGCATTACTTTGCATCCTGTGACAAGTGACAGTAACTTTAATGAGTGCTGTTCCTAAAAGTCATACGAGTTACTTGTAATTGACCACCAAAAGAACACTTGTATAGACTAGCTCTGTATGTCAATTCATGTATTTATATGTTGCTCCATTTATTTCCCTGTTTAAAAAATCACATTACAGGGTGGCTAGGGGTGTTAAACCTAAATAATCTTACACATTCTTTTCGTATATTTTGTCCCTTTATGAAAAAAAGAAGATAAAATCATTACCGTTTTTCTTTTTATAGTTTCTTTATTTGTTAATCAAGTAGTTATCCTTTAATTCCTTTTTTATTTATGAGGTGTAAGTATTTTAACGGCTGGTGGGGCACCTAGAAATCGTGTTTTGGATTCAAATTACTCAAATTAAGGTTATTACATATTATAGTACCTGGACATTTCCTGAAAAATATCCAGAAACATAATTATGCAAGCCTTGCAACATCCTAAAGTTGTGTTTTTTTGGTCAGGTTTTTCTGCGAAAGCACGTCATGTTTTCCAGCCTTTTCTTACCTTTATCGGCTGTTTTCTCACAATTCTATTTTTTCATACATTATCCCATTTTTCTGCTCTGTTTCTTTTTCAATTTCAATGTAACCGTCACAGGATACCAACAACACCTAGTTCGTAATTCTAGTTTGTTGAATATTTGATTAATGGAGTAGTTTTTGATTTATGGGCTTAGAAAGCATGCATTTTCTTTTTTTTTCCCTCTTTTTTTATGGCAATAACCCAATTGTAAGCGTCATAAAATAAAACCTAAAGCATAATTATATCAAAACTTCAACCAGCCAAATTTACGAACTACCTATTTACTGTTGGCGTACCAAATTAAAAGTGAATCAGTTCATAAATAAGGGAATAAAATGGGATTGAAAAGGTGTACAAAATCCAATTTGGCCGCCCTTTCCATAGCAACCGATTCACAATAATATTGTTTTTTTTTATAATACTTTTTGAACTATTGATTTCAAATCCCCAATAACACACGATGTCCCACAGCAAATCTGGGCACTGTAGGCCGTGTAATAGCCAAAATAGACTTCAGGTGCCCCACCAGGTTGTGAACCTACCATGACAATGAGAAAGTATGTCCCATAGGTCCGCAGAAAGACGTTGCCAAGGGAGGCAGTCTTGTACGGAGACTTGGGTTGTTTCTCCTTCTCTGGCTTCTCTTTAGCGAGGAGTGGAGCTTTCTCAGAGCTGCCTTTTCCGAAACCATTAGGGGTCATGTCTGTGTAAAATGAATGTGCAGGGGGTCTGGAAGAGAGTATTATGAACTCATTGAGGGCATGCTCTTTTGGGGCACTTTATAAAAAAACAAAACAACGTAACTTCGTTATTCGCACATATTTTTAAAGTATTTTTAAATTTTGATCTGAAACTTTGAAAGGCATGTAATAAAATGCATTACATGAATTTTTTTTGTAGTAAAAGTTTTACGGCACTTGCAACACAGTAAGGTCATATAAGTGCCACATTATATGAAATAAGCAAATTCGTGTTTCCTATTTGTGTATGATTGTTCAAAATGTGCCGCAGTATGGCCATGGGCCTGCTGTTGACTGGACATATTATGTGTCCGATTCGTTCGTCCTTCAAGCGTGAACAAAATAAGATACAGGAAAATTGAATGTGACTTCGGTGGTGTAGTACAGGGCAAGGGGTTGGGCTCGTAGCCGATAGGTCAGGGGTTCAAACCCAGTCAAGGGCCCGACGTTGTGTCATTGGGAATGACATTTTACGACTTTCGCTCACTTCACCCAGGTGGTAACGGGTATTTGGATAGAGACACCGAAAGATCTTGTCGGTTTGTACGTTTTTAGCTTTTAGCGCGCTAGTGCTAATACTGTATGATTCACGAGAAGACGAGACGGCTTCTGAGTGTTTCAGGGTCTGTTGGTAGCGATAATAGTAGTAAAGCTCCCAGAGCATGCTATAAAGCATAGATATATGCTATAAAACAGGAATGAACCTTATCATTAATAATGTATTTGGCCAGACTGTCCACTGAGCTTGCTAAAGGCATTATTTCGATTTCAGATTTGATGAGATACTTATTCAGTATCTCCCATGTTCTAACGGGACTTAACGTTAGGTAAATGTCAAGTTGAGGTCTCCATTCCTAAGGACCTCTTTCACAGCACACACCCCCTCGCCTCAACCCCCATATTGGCCCCCACAGTGAATGGAAACCCCGGATGTGAGTTGGAGCTCAAGTAAATTCAGAATGGAAACTTCAATTAGACACTTACCTAGTGTTCCTTACAGTACTGAGTTGGTCTTGATAGACAGGAGCGAAACAGACCCCCCCCCCAATCCCCCCCTACCCACTCCATCTCCTAACTGATCAAGATTCTGGGAAAAAAACCCACACGCGTTGCTGTCATTTTTAAACATATAAGCTATTTAGATCAGCGTCTGGGAAGCGACGGCTGGGCTCTTCGCCATTGCACACAGAAGACGCAAGTCCAATCCTCCAGTTTTCTGTCTGTCAGCTGGAATGCTGTATTCCATTCAGCTTGGATTTGCCAAGGCAGGCAGGTTAAAAGCAGCCAGTCTTCTAACCGATT